GACTTCGTTCTCCTCGTCAGGTTCAGTGGTGCGCCGGCGTCGTGTCGTCATGTTTGCGATGACATTCCTGGGAACTCCTGACTGTGGTCCTTGATTTTGCTGGTGTTGCGCAAGAGGACGAGCTTGCTGATGCTGAGGTTGAGGATGACGAGCGTCTTGTCGGCCGACCCAGTTGTTGTGGTGAGTGGAATTTGGGTGGCGGTAGTTGGATCGGGATTTACATCTATCCGTTGAGTGTCCGAAGACTTTGCATATTTTGCAGTAATGGCGCCTTGGTTGTCGTCGCTCTTCTTGGTTGTCCGTGTAGAAGGCGAGGCGCTCTCGGCGCGGCGCGAAGCTTGTTCTGCTCGAGTCCATATCCTGCTGTTCGGATAGGAGAGCGGCGCATAGCGCGGCTTCTGAAATTGTTCCTCGCTGTCGGAGTAATGCCTTGCAGGGCTTCCACTCAGGCCCAAGTCCTTGAAGGACTATATTGACGAAAATCTCTTCTGAGATCGTACTCCCATGCTTCGTAATCTGGTCACGGATGTTGCAAAAGCAGTTAATATATGGATTTGCCTTCTCCCCGTGCCCCATTTTTATCTCTAGGAGTTGCTGGAGAAGCCTGCTGGATGTGACCGAATCCTTCGGCTGCTAAACTTCAACGAGGTGCTTCCAAGCTTCCATTGCTGGAGCGTCGCTCTCTTTGTAGGAGCGTATGTTGAGTTGTTCCGCAGGCGTCATGTTGCGTAGCAGCACACTGTAAGCCATGAGGGACTCACTGTAGTACTGAGCCCTGGCGACGTCGGTGTTTTCCACTGGTTTAGGGTAGGAGCCGTCGAAGTAATGGTAGATCTGCGCTGTTTGTAGGAGGAGCTCCAGCTCAAAGCTCCATGTGTAAAAACCCTTGCCGTCAAACGCGGAAGTAGTCTTAATCTTTGAAACGCTGAGGAAGCGTGTTTGCACAGAGTTGATAGCCTCATCACTTGGACGGGGGGCAGTTGTTGCTGATTTGTCTGTGTCGAGGGAGAAGGTGTGCGCGGCGGTATCACGGCTTTTCTCAGCCGGTTGTCCAGGTTGTGCTGGTTGGGAAGAGATTCCCGCATCGCCTTTGCGCAGTTCTTGGAGTTCTTTCTCCATAGTTGTAAGTCGAGCGAAAAGTTGCTCAAGGGCGGCAGTGCCGATCGTGGTTGTCGCCTCACTTGTCGCTGCTGGATTGGGTTGTCCTTCAGCCGTCAGATTTGTTTGGCCTCTGGATCCTCCGGCCATCTTGGTCTTGGAGCGTGTGCCGCTCGCCAGGTCTTGATTCGGCGAATTTCATGGAAGTGAAGTTGCGAAGAATCCCTGAGTAGCTCTCATACCATGTTACAATCCCAAGTGGGACTTAGCGAAGGATCGCTCAGGGTTGATCGCGGAGTAGTGTTGCAGCGGAAATTTGAATCTCATGTCAGAGTGAATGTAAATGACTGAGTTGATAATAGCATGCATACATCGAGTTTATATAAGAGTACAAGGTGTTGGTGTAAGGGCCTAATAAACTCAAGCTATTAAGACTTTATCACACTTAAAACCTCTCCTCGGGGTCACCTCCAAGGGTCCTTGGGTGCCTGGTACAAGACCAGCCCCTATCCTCGGGTCCGAGTTTGTAGAGAGAGGGATCAAGAGGGACTTAGTCAAAACAGCAAGAGTACCTTGAACGTCGCGCAGCGTATCGTGCAGACCGTCGATCGGATTAAGCTGAGAATTTCCTATATCGAAGCTCACTCTAAGAGCTTTAAAATAAGCCAAGTTGCCTCGCGAAAAGTTCTGCCATTACGAAGTTATGGCTCGGACAGCGTTAGCCTAGCGTTGGAGTGCTAGCGTACTAGCGTTGACTCGGGTAGCGTTCCGCCATCGCACCGCGTAGAAAAGAAATTCCAGCAAGGAAGGAATTCGCTTGAATCAATTTCACTATATTCAGGTACAAACAGAGAAGGAATAAATAGCTCTAGCTAGCAAGGACCTTGGGAATCAACCTGGGAACAACCAGGGATGATCCCAAATAATTCCAAGCAACAGAACCAACCTGGCTGGACAAAATAGCAGGTGATAGGTTGGTGAACAACCTCTGGTTCTGTTTTTCCAACCTGGGAAAACAACAACCAGGTTCAGGTCCTAAAAACAGAACCTGTTTTGTCTTTGCCCAACCAGCCAAATGCTGGTTCCGCTGGTTTCCCCTGGCCCTGTAGCATGCAGATACAGACAAACAACATCCAACCTTCACCTAAATTGTACCCCTATAGTTCCTGCCCTGCTACACTATAGTCAACCAAACAAAACAGTACAATTTCGAGTTGGATAGAACTGAATCTGCGCAATCAAGTAAGTTGAACCGCAAAGCTTCCATCTTGGGTTCCTTTGCGAGCTCGTCCTTTCTGCTTGTACTGTTCATAGCGCGTACAATGTTATGCCGAAGCGCACATTTTGCGAGTACCTGCAAATGCTTCAAGCGAAAATTGCGAAAGCAAACAAACACACAAACATACCATTCACACGCAAATGCATTCGCACACGCATACTCGTACAAACAGACGGCAGGATGTCGTGCAATGTGAATTTGCACCCAACACAAGGGAATACGAAAGGACCTAGACTAGCCATGTACTCTAAGGGGTACATTCCCTTATTACAACTGAATTCAAAACCGTGCGGCACGGGAACCAGTTCAAAAACTGTTCCCGCTCTTTTCACTTTATATGTTTATGCGTGCATCGGTCTTGATCTGACGGTTGGTGCGTCGCTTCGGCTCTTCTGACTCCTCAACTTCGTACTCGGTAGAGTCGGCTCCTGCAGCATACAGGAATGCCTTCTCATAAAACTTCGCATCGTAACAAGTCAGAATGAGTCGGATTGACCCCATGACAGCTCATTCTGACTGGACGCGAAGGCATTGAGTCGCGCGAGGGGCAAGGGTTTCGAAATTCTGAATGTGGGGATGCAATATTGTGTTTCGTTTCAGCGTTTTCAGTAAAAATATAAAAAATATTACAGAGGGTGGCGCTTATAATCCGTAAGCCTTCAGGGGTGCGCTTATAATCGAGGAGCGGATATAAGCGCCCTCATCCTTTTATAAGCGCCGGCGCTTATCCGAGGCCTGCGCTTCTATCCGGGGGCTTACGGTAGCAATTTACAGCCTAGACAACTCATGCCTTAACCTGCTTGCCCGAAGGCAAGCTGAGATGTAACATCGACTTCGGGATTCCGACCTTCAAATTTTCGGACGGAAAACCATCGGCTGCTTTAATGATTTAATGGCGGGGGCTGCACAATGAAACTGAATGTCAATGCATAAATTAATTAGAGAAAAAACAGGATAATATCTTACCAGCAGGGGTCATCGTGAGCTTTCAAAAAAAGGCGACCTGCAAGGAAAAACATGGGACCTAAAGGGAGAAACAGCCGACCTGCGAGAAGAAACAAACGAGGTGGAATAACGAAACAAGGAATACAAGTAGAAACTACATGAACTGCCACGGAAATGAAACGACCACGTTGGTTGATGCCTCCCGTCGGGTGCGTAAGGGGCTGTAACTGTTACGAATAGTGATTATCGTAACACTATTGTACACTCCTCTCCGCAACAACCAAAGCACGCACTACCGGGAATGGAGATGAAAGGGCGCAAGTGACGTGAACAGTCACACGGTTACGAAAAGCATCTGGACCGTCGAGCAGACAGCATCAGGCAGCAGCAGTGGCGAGGATTCTGCCCGAACAGTTACGTAACCACTCGGAGTCGCACGGTTGGATTTCACTGTAATAAGGGAATGTACCCCTTAGAGTACATGGCTAGCTAGGTCGTTTCGAATTCCCCTGTACTCATATTTATACACCTTGTACTGCATGTTTTTAATCATCTCAAGCATTTACATTTGTCAAACATTATATATGTTGTGCTTGTTTAGGCTACAGTGGGTTAGCCTATAGGGGGTACACAATTCTAGGGTTAGGTACTTGTACTGATTTCACTGCTAGTTAAATCACTTTCCTGTTCCTTCATTTCAACATGGTATAGAGCAGGTCCTTCCTAGGACCGTTTTTTTTTTTTAAGGGCCCACCACTACCTACCTACCTACCTACGCCCTAACGCGCCTCGGTTTTCAACGGCCCCGTTGGCCCGGTGCTAACCGGCCCTAGAGGCCCTCCTAACGGCCCCGCGATCGCCCCTAAAGGCCCCGTTGGCCCCACGCTTACCTCCCTAGAGGCCCCGTACGGCCCCGCAATCGCCCCTAGAGGCCCCGTCGGCCCCGCGCCTGCCTCCCTAGAGGCCCTCCTTACGGCCCGCGGTCGCCCCTAGAGGCCCCGTCGACCCCGCGCTTACCTCCCTAACGGCCCCTTACGGCCCCGACCTCGCCCCTAGAGGCCCCGTCGGCCCCGCGCTTGCCTCCCTAGAGGCCCTCTACGGCCCTGCGCTCGCCCTTAGAGGCCCCGAAAGGCCCCGCACTCGCCCTTAACGGCCCCGACCGGCCCCACGCTCTCCCTTAACGGCCCCGATCGGCCCCGCGCTCGCCCCTAAAGGCCCCGAACGGCTCCGCGTTCGCCCCTAAGAACCCCGAACGGCCTCTCGCTTGCCCTTCACGTCCCCTTATGGCCCCGCGCTCGCCACTAACGGCCCCTTACCGCCCCGCGCTCGCCCTTCACGGCCCCTCACGGCCCCACGCTCGCCCTTCACGGCGAGTACCATCGTGTCTGGGCTTACCATCGTGTCTGGGCGTACCATCGTGTCTGGGCTGTACCAACGTTAAGGGCTCAAACATCGTGGCTGTACCATCGTTAAGGGCTCAAACATCGTGTCGGGGCTGTACCATCGTTAAGGGCTCAAACATCGTGTCTGGGCTGTCACATCGTGTCTCGACTGTACCATCGTGTCTGGGCTGTAACATCGTGTCTCGGCTGAACCATTGTGTAGGGGCTATAACATCGTGTCTCGGCTGAACCAAACCGACCGTCCTACCTGCCTGCCTACTCCTACTGCTGCTCCTATGGCTAGTCCTCCGGTGCTAGTTTTCGATGCTGAGGGCCGCCCAGTAAAGTTTGACACCTGGCTAGATGACCTGCACCTCTTCCTACAGCTCACTGCCAAGGAGGACATCTCACTGTACGATCACGCCCTAGGCCATACCCCTGCCCCTGCTGCTACTGCTGACAGCACTACCCGCCCACAGTGGCAGACTCGTGACGCCCACGCTCGCTTTGCTATTCGCAACTCCCTGCCAATAGATGAGCGTGAGCACTTCGGCCAGCACAAGACTGCCCGGGCACTGTACACTGGTGTCGTTGCCCGCTACTCCTCACCTGCCTCTACTGCACGAGGCCGTCTCTCACTCCCCTACCTGTTCCCCGACCTTACCTCCTTCCACACAGTCGCTGACCTCATCACGCACCTCCGTACTAGTGAGGCCCGCTTCCGTGCCGCTATGCCTGATGAGTTTCTTGCCGCGAACCCCCCCCCCCCGCTCTGGCTCACTCTCTACCACCTAGTCACCCGCCTCCCTGACTCTCTGCGTGCAGACAGGGACCACTTCCTAGCTCGCTGCCCCACTGAGCTCACCATTGCCCTCCTCGAGAAGGAACTGCTTGCAGCTGAGACTAGCATAGTCGCTGTAGGTGCCTCTCGCGGCGACCCCCCGTACCCCGTTCTTTGAGGGGTGTTCTCCTTCCCCCCTTCTTCCCTCTGTCGCCTCTGCTGCTGCTATCGACCTCCTTGGTGCTGAGAAGGTCGGTACTGTGTCTGCTTCGAGTGGGCGCCGCAGCGACAAGGGCAAAGGGGGCAAGGGCGGTGGCGATGACGACGGGGGAGGCGGTGGTGGGGGTGGTGGCGCGACTGGAGGGACTAGTGGCGGCGGTGGGGGTGGTGGCGGCAGCGGCGGGGGAGGTGGCAGGGGCGAAGGCGGTGGTGGGGGTGGCGGTGGACGCGGCGGCGGTAGGGGTTGGGGTGGTCGAGGAGGTGGCGGCGGCGGTGGCAGTCGTGGGGGCGCTGGCGGTGGCCAGGGCCAGCAGCACACTCCCTCGCCCCAGGAGGTCCGTGAGTGGTACTCTCAGCACAGAGGGGGGGGTGGCTCTAGCTGCACGTACGTCATTCGCACTGGTGACCGCACTGGTCAGCAGTGTGGGGGACCGCACGCCACGCAGCGCTGCTTCGCTCGTCTCAACGACGCTTGGCGTGTTCAGTTCCCTCACGCCGCTGAGCTGCCCCGCTGGATTGATCTCCTGAAGAAGGGGATTGATATCTTTGCTCTAGACTTTGATGCTATTCTATCTGCTATGTATGTGATGTCTACTAGTGGAGAGGGTGCTGAGTACCTGTGTGTGCCGCCCGACCCAGGCGTTAGGACTAGTGCGTCTGCCGCTCCAGGCACTCGCGTGTCTGCTACCCCAGGTGTTGGTGAGGCAGCTGCTCTAGGTGCTTGTGCGTCTGCCCCCCCCGGTACTGAGTATACTGCAGCACTGCACACCTTCACAATGGACTCAGGTGCTTCTCGCTGCTTCTTTCGTGACCGCACTGTCCTTGAGCCGCTTGCTCGGCCAGTTGCTGTCTCCCTCGCAGACCCATCTGGGGGTCCGGTCATTGCGACCTCCTCCAGTGTCCTTCCCTGTCTTGCGGTCCTGTCGGGCACACTGTCCGGTCTCCACCTTCCCTCGTTCTCTATGAACCTGGTGGCAGGATGTGCGCTCCAGGACGGGGGTGTTTACCAGTTCACCCTTGCCTACGAGCGCGTGACACACTGCACGTGTGCTCGTACGGGCCGTCACTTGGCTACCTTCACTCGGCAGCCGGGGTCGGACCTGTACACACTGACCACTAAGTCCCCTCAGGTCGCTGCGTCTGCGTCTGCGTCCGCGTCAGGTCAGCTGTCGGCCCCCTGCTCGTGTCGCTCTCTGGCACACGAGACTGTCCTCTAGCACCACCGCCTTGGCCACCCGTCTGTGCAGCGGCTTTGTGCCATGCACTTCCGGTACCTTGTCTCTGGACTTCCCAGGGTCCTTCCTCCCCTCCCTCCCTCACCTGCTCCTCCCTGTCTTCCCTATGTCGAGGGGCGGTAGCGCGCCGCTCCTCACTCTTCGTTTCCCCCGATGACTGCTCCCTTGCAGACGCTCCACATGGACGTGTGGGGCCCAGCCCGCGTCCGTGGTCAGGGTCAGGAGAGGTACTTCCTGATAGTTGTTGACGACTACTCGCGCTACACCACGGTCTTCCCCTTGCGCACCAAGCCTGAGGTCCCTGATGTCTTGATCCCTTGGATCCGCAGAGCCCGTCTCCAGCTCAGCGAGCGCTTTCACTCGGACTTTCTTGTCCTGCGCTTGCACTCTAACAGAAGTGGTGAGTTCCCCTCCGACCTCTTGGCAGCCTACTGTGCTGAGCACGGCATTGAAAAGTCGTTCACGCTTTCAGCCTCTCCACAGCAGAATGGGGTTGCGGAGCGCCGCATTGGCCTGGTCATGGAGGTCGCCCGTACCTCCTTGATCCATGCGGCTGCCCCCCACTTTCTGTGGCCGTTTGCAGTCCGGTACGCTGCGCATCAGCTCAACCTCTGGCCCCGTGTCTCCTTGCCGGAGACCTCTGTTGGGTGCAAATTCACATTGCACGACATCCTGCCGTCTGTTTGTACGAGTATGCTTGTGCGAATGCATTTGCGTGTGAATGGTATGTTTGTGTGTTTGTTTGCTTTCGCAATTTTCGCTTGAAGCATTTGCAGGTACTCGCAAAATGTGCGCTTCGGCATAACATTGTACGCGCTATGAACCGTACAAGCAGAAAGGACGAGCTCGCAAAGGAACCCAAGATGGAAGCTTTGCGGTTCAACTTACTTGATTGCGCAGATTCAGTTCTATCCAACTCGAAATTGTACTGTTTTGTTTGGTTGACTATAGTGTAGCAGGGCAGGCACTATAGGGGTACAATTTAGGTGAAGGTTGGATGTTGTTTGTCTGTATCTGCATGCTACAGGGCCAGGGGAAACCAGCGGAACCAGCATTTGGCTGGTTGGGCAAAGACAAAACAGGTTCTGTTTTTAGGACCTGAACCTGGTTGTTGTTTTCCCAGGTTGGAAAAACAGAACCAGAGGTTGTTCACCAACCTATCACCTGCTATTTTGTTCAGCCAGGTTGGTTCTGTTGCTTGGAATTATTTGGGATCATCCCTGGTTGTTCCCAGGTTGATTCCCAAGGTCCTTGCTAGCTAGAGCTATTTATTCCTTCTCTGTTTGTACCTGAATATAGTGAAATTGATTCAAGCGAATTCCTTCCTTGCTGGAATTTCGTTTTCTACGCGATGCGACGGCGGAATGCTACCCGAGTCAACGCTAGTATGCTAGCACTCCAACGCTAGGCTAACGCTGTCCGAGCCATAACTTCGTAATGGCAGAACTTTTCGCGAGGCAACTTGGCTTATTTTAAAGCTCTTAGAGTGAGCTTCGATATAGGAAATTCTCAGCTTAATCCGATCGACGGTCTGCACGATACGCTGCGCGACGCTCAAGGTACTCTTGCTGTTTTGACTAAGTCCCTCTTGATCCCTCTCTCTACAAACTCGGACCCGAGGATAGGGGCTGGTCTTGTACCAGGCACCCAAGGACCCTTGGAGGTGACCCCGAGGAGAGGTTTTAAGTGTGATAAAGTCTTAATAGCTTGAGTTTATTAGGCCCTTACACCAACAAGCTGGTATCAGAGCTGCGTTATAGTGATCCTCGATATAGGTAGCTATGGCGGGCAACACCTCGGCGGTAGCTGGTGAAACTTCAGCCCAAGATCGTAGCGGCAGCCATGATTCTGGTGTTTCTGCGCCAAGGGGAGCGCGAACAAGCCAGGGCTCGCTGATCAAGGAGGTGCTGAAAAACTTCACCGTCGAGAAGTTCAATGGTGAGGGCTATGATGATTGGGCCTGGAAAATGCAACTTTATTTCCGTCAAATCGGATTGCTGAAACTAATGATTGGGGAGGAGCCTAGACCGAGTGACCCCGCCCTTCAGGAAGATTGGGACGAGCGCGCCTCGGCTGGCTACTACTTGATGTCGCAGAGTTTGGAGCTGAACCAGCGTCACCACGTCATGCACCTGCTGCCGGAGGCTGAGTGTGGTCCGAAGGCGTGGACGGTGTTGAAGGAGCTGCACGCCCCGACCTCCGTTGTTGCAACATTGATGCTGGAGAGGGAGCTGTCCGCGTTGCGCCTGAGCGAGGGAGAGCCGGTGCAACCTGTCCTGGACAAATTGCGCGACCTCTACGCGAAGTTGGCGACCGCAGGAATCACCTACCCGGAGCAAACAAAGTGCTTGAAGATGCTCTCGCTGCTGCCGGAATCGTGGCTTCAATTTACGAGCGGATTGAGCCTGCCGCAGAACCAGAGCTTGTGGACGCTCGAGTGGGTGCGGACGAAGATTCTGGAGGAGGACTTCCGTCGCCGCCAACTGAGGGGTGGAGACGACGGCAGCAGCGGCTACGGGATGCAAGGGAGCCGACGTGGCAAAGGACGTGGCTTCGGTGGTGCTGGACGCGGTGCAAAGAAAGACGACGACTCCAACGACCAACAAGGAGGTACCGGTTGGGGTCGCGGTGCAAAATCTGGACGTGGGGGCAAGTCGGGTGCTGGTGGCAAAATGAAAGGGAGTTGCTGGTATTGTGAGAAGGAAGGGCACCCCTGGTTTTTGTGCTATAAGAAACCCGATGGATGGACCCCCCAGAATCGTCACCAGGATGGCGGCGCGCGGAGGAACCAGAAAAACGGTGCCAACATGATCGCTGATTCGTCCGACAACAACCCAAAGGGCAACGGCGGTGCGGAGAAGAAGAAGGAGCGCACCGCGGGCCAATTCTTCCATATGGGAGACAAGGGGGAGCAAGGAGACGCCTCTGCTAAGGCTGGAGCAGAGCTGCACCCCCTGGACTATTGGGTTTTGGACACAGGCGCTGCTTGGACAATGACGCCGCGCAAGGACCTGCTGGACGACGTACGCGCTGCACCGATTAATGAGGTGTGCTCTGCCTCTGGACACATGTTGAAGGTGGCTGGTGCGGGACGAGCTGCATTTAAGGGAGCGGATGGCAAGCCGGTGGTGCTGCACGACGTTCTCCTCGTCCCCGACCTGAAGGCCAACCTCATCTCCCTCCGTAAGCTTGGCAAGGCTGGGGTGAACACCAACACGGATGGGGCTCGCACTTATAAGGGGAAGCTGGGCAATCGGGTGCTTTGGGATCTGCACGAGAGCAAGGACGTGTACAGATCTATGTGGCAGCTGCCGGCGCTGGCGTGGCACGGTGGGGGGCAGGCTGGAGAGGGGTCTGCATCCCAGGGGGAGTGCAACGCCGTTGGAGGGGTTGGTGTGAAAGTGTCGGCCAGATCTGGGGAGACAGATTGGGCAACTGCACACCGACGCTTGGGGCATGTGGCAATGCCTTTGCTGAAGCAGTTGGAGAAGGATGGAGCCGTTAAGGGCTTGAAGCTGAACGGACAACCACCCGATGATAACTGTGAAATCTGTTTGCTCTCAAAGTTTACCCGTTTCCCCTTCCATAGTGTGGCTGGCAGGAGCAAGAAGCCGTTGGAGCTGGTCCACATGGACTTGGTGGGGCCGCTGCCGGTTCAGGGACACAAGGGGGAGCGGTACTTCCTGACCATTGTGGATGATTGGAGCAGGCTTATGTGGGCATATCCGCTGAAGCAGAAGGACCATGCCGCCTCTACGATACGGGAAGATTGGCTGCCATTCGTGGAGAAGCAAGCGGAGTGTGTGGTGAAGCGGATTAGGACAGATCGGGGTGGTGAGTTCCTTGGAGCTGAGATGACGGCCTGGCTCAAGAAGCAGGGCATCCAGAGGGAGCTGACCACGGCTTACACCCCACAGTCCAACGGTGTAGCAGAACGGGCGAACCGGACAATTCTGGAGACAGCTAGGGCGCTGCTCATAGAATCTGGGCTGGGCAACTCCATGTGGCCCCATGCTGTTCGGCACGCTACCGTCGCTAGGAACAGGGTACTCACAAAGGTTGGGGATGACTCGTGGGTGCCGTTGGAGAGGTGGCTTGGGAGGAAGCCGCCGGTGGACATGCTGAGGGTGTTCGGTTGCATGGCAGTCGCCCACGTCCCCAAGACCTACCGCAGTAAGTTGGGGGCGAGTGCAATCTGGTGTGTGCATTTGGGGCTGGCTGCTGAGAGCAAGGGATGGCTGCTGTGGGAACCCTCCAAGGGTGTGTTATTTGACAGCAGGGATGTGAAGTTTGTTGAGGGCATGATGTATGGGAGCTGGGAGAAACAGCCGGAGGCCAGGGTGTCCCAGCAGATGGAGCAGATTACCATGCAGCTGGACCTGACTCCTAGTGTGTGGGAGGAGGGAGAGGAGGCAGCTGCAGAGGGTGGTGATAAAGAGAAGGTGCAGGAGGCACCTGCTGGTGGAGGTGATGGTGTGGAGATTAGCGGTAGCACTAGTGGAGCTGCTGGATCCGAGGGAGGAGAGCAGCAGCAGGGGAAAACTAAGAAGCCGAAGGGTGTTATTATGAAGGGATGGGAGACACCCGTCTCCAGGCCAGGACGTACCCGTATGGCTACTAAGAAGCTGACTGCAGGAGCTGATGTAGCGGAGCAGCAGCTTGGGACCGAGGAGGCATTGCTGATTCTACCGCATGGCTATGACCCGGATGAGGAGGATCAACCTGCGTACTGTTTTCTTGCCCCTGCACCAGAGGAACCAGCTAGCATGGAGGAGGCATTAGCTGGACCAGATAGGGACAAATGGCTAGCTTCCAGGGATGCTGAATACCAGAGCCTGCTGGAGAATGGGACTTGGGAACTAGTGGTGCTGCCTGAGGGAAAGAAAGCGGTACAATGCAAGTGGGTGCTAAGGATCAAGACTGACGACAAGGGGCAGGTCACCATCTACAAGAGTAGGTTGGTGGCTAAGGGGTTTATGCAGAAGGAGAAGCGGGACTTCAATGAGATCTTTGCTCCCACTGCCAAACCCCCTACCCTTCGTGTCTTGTTGGCAGATGCAGCCGTTAGTGGGAAGTTCATTATCCAGATGGACATATCAACGGCATTTCTCAACGGGATTTTAGAGGAGGAGGTGTTCATGACGCAGCCACCTGGGT